CCGCCCACCCCCCGCCTCTTTCCCACCTTGGTGTGCACATGTTTGTTCTCTACATCTGATGATTTCCTTACAAGTGGGTGCAGAGTTGGTGGAAATACTGCTAGACACTAACACAGCAAACTCCATCTGTGTCCTTGATGAGATGCCATATTTTGGGGGGGTCCCAGGCGGCAAGCACCCTACCCCAGGAGGTGGGCACTTATACTCCTGTGGTGTCACAGGGTATTGGTCTCCAAGGCCACCTGGGGCCTTCGAGTTCAGCCTCTTGTTTTACAAATGGGAATACTAAGGCTGGGAGCAGAAGGGGCTTGCAAGGCAGTGGCAGAGCCAGGCCTGGATCCCATTTCTCTGCTTGACCCACTTCACTCCATTGTCAAGGCCTAGACTTGGGGCATGGCCACAGGCAGAGCCAGACATGCACATTTACCTTGTGATAAGTGCAAATGCCTGGAAAGGAAAAAAGGATCAGTGAGGCCAATCCACTCTATTCTCTGGACAAATGAAATTGAGATTAATTTGCTTGAAGGTGCCCAGAATCTAAATCAGATGAGCAGAGAATTTATTGAGGTCAGCTGCCTGGGCATCATTTGACCCAGTGGTTCCTCCCCTGAGCACTGGCCCTGGCCTTCAAGGAGGCAGACACCGGGCCTTCTGCTCAACTAGTAGCCTCACGCGGCTGTCCCTCAGGCCCCCAGCAGCCGCGGTTCCCAGGGCTGGGGGCAAGACGGGCCCACGCGGAGGAGCAGGGGACTCAGAACCCACCTTGAAGCCCCAGATGTCATTCACCTGCCGGCAGAGGTTGAGGTCGAGCTCGGTGACCAGCAGCCCATCCCGGTTGCGGGAGAGCCCGGGGGTGCGGCTGCCATCAGGGGCTGCCACATAGCTTGAGCCATAAAAGTAGCCGAAGTCCCGGTGAGCTGTGAAGGAGCAAAGGCAAGGCCCCGGTGAGCTCAGGCAGACATGGGTGGACTCGGCAAGGGGACGGATGCACCAGAGACTCCCAGGACAAAGGGTCCCCACCTCCCTTCCCATTGGTGGCCAAGGTCCCAAGGACCTGCCTCCCTCCTTGGGCCTGGAGGCCCAGCAAGTGGCTGCATGTCACCCTCAGCTCCCTCACCTCTGCCCCAGGAACATTTTACAGGTCACCCTAGTAGAGGTATTGGCCTCCGGTTCCAGCATCATCCACCATAGGCCAAGGGAGTTGCATGGCTCTGCAGGGCTTCCTGTGGTGGCCCTGCCCAGTGAGCTGGCAGCTCTGCCCTCGCCAGCCGTGCCAGCTGTCACCCTCACCCTCCCTCCACACCTCGGTCCCCTCACCAGTAAAGCAGGGTAACAGCCACCCTCAAGGTGTGTAGGGAGCATGTGGGCGCAGTGCAGGGCCCAGCTGGCCTCACTTTCCTGCAGGGAGCTAAGTGGGACTAGAGACTCAGGAGGTCTCCAAGGCCTCACGTTGGGGGGGATGTGGAGCCCTTTCAGGAAATGCTTTTCTGGGAGACAGACCCCCTCAGCACCCCCTGCTTCCCAGGGCGGGAACCATGAGCGAGTTCAGACACCTCCTCGGTGAGGGGGCAGCCCCCCTCCCACATTCCAGGCTAGAGAGGTGAGGTGGGGGGGTGGTGGCAGATTCCAGGCAGCGGTGAGGTGAGACCTGCCCTCAGATCAAAACAAGCTGTGGATTCTAGGAACCCAAGGCAGCCATGCTGGGCTCTGGGGCATTTGTACAGCTGGGGAGTGAGGGGTGTGGATGAGGACAAAGGGAGGGGGGAGTGAGGTCTGTGGGGTGGATGATGCACTCCTATTTCAGGGCGCTCACAAAAGGGCTCCCCCACACCTCAGTCCATCTTCACCGTAGTCCCCGGGGGAGGGATGGAGTCTGATCCGATCTCTACTCCATCCTCATCCAGGGAATGAGGTGGTCACAGGCCCAGGAATGC